AATGTGTCCATATTTTAAAAAGTCACTAAAACTTAAGGAGAAAAAGTTAATCTTTGTACCTGAAACTTAGCATTACTCTTTTCATTAAAGAATTTTCATTAAAGTGAGACAACATCCTTTTGAAGGGCTTGCCTGCTGTGTGCATTCACACATTTATTCTGTATCTTCAAAGAATCATTTCCACATACTATTAAAATGAACAATTTTCTACCTATTTTACTTCACTTTCTTTTCTTTCCTCTCTGTTATTTTTCCCTTATCTTAAAATATACTTCTAGTGCTAAAAAATATAAGGAGAATTACATGTAATTATCATGTTGTATCCAAAGACAGAACTTTGGACATTTCCTATGTTGTTAAGTATTTTTGTTGTGCTTTCATTATCCAAATTTTTAATTACTATATGTATTAATTCTTGTTTACCACATCATATTTTGAAACCTTTATTTTAAAAGTTTCTTATTGTAAACACTTGGATTTTGAATGCTCATAGAAATATATTTTTATTAAACAATTTTCTTTTTCTTCTAAAAAAGTCCTTAATATTATTTCCATATCTAAACTATATCCTGACTCCTATTAAAAATGACAACAACACATCCATAATTACATAAATTCTACTTTGAAACTTTGGATTTAAGAGCTTATAATGTCTCATGATCATTAAAAGAAAAAAGATATATTCATCTACTCTTAAATACCAGATTTTTTGGATGAAATGCCTAAACACACAGGTTATAAAATGGCCTTTGAAGATGGGGATGTTGACAGATTCCAAAAAAAAATAAGAGGGCATGAAAGAACAGCTTACCTGTCTATCAGCTAGGGCCTTTCATCATCAAAGACTCATTGTGTTTAACATTCAACTTACTGTACACATGCAACCCATTTGTCCAACAACTGATCTCAGAAGTTCAAGTCTGAGGAAAGGCCGGAGACATTCCACCTCCTTTTCGTGATGTCTCCAAGAAACTCTGTCCCATATTGGAAAATATGTTGGGTGCAATCCAGGACAAAGGCTTCAGGTGGCGCTCGTGACATATGCCACATGAGCTCCCCAGGGTTTATCAAGCTATAGTAAGCTATAGTAATGCACATAGGACTGGGCCTCCAGGAATGCTTTCTGACCTGGTTTTCAAGACGTTTATCCAAACCATCTGCCATTTCACTCGGGGCTCCCATTCTGTTCACTCTATGCTTTCCTTGAGCCCATAACAAAAAAGACAGGAAACAAGTATCTTCGAGGCAGGGAGTTCATGTCCATCGACAATTATGTACTCAGGACTAAACTGATGGATTCAGTTCAGCAGTCTCCAGAGTGGACTGGAGTTGACCAGGGGGAAAGAGGCACATTTCAAGTTGGGGGACGATGCAGCCCAGCTGTGGCATTCAGGTCTGCCTCAGCATAAAAACAGACCCAACAGGTGTGGCAGGCCTGTGTCACGAGCAGTCAGACTCGAGCAGGGTCCTCTCGAGTCTGTTAACCTGGCATGCACCTTACAGCCTTGCCACGTGTTAAAATACTGTTGTGCTGCTGAACTGGCTGTTAAATATTCTGAACAAATACCCGAGACACCAGATGACATGGAGTCCTGAAAACAAGGCACTGGGACTTTGACCGGAGTTGGCAGGAAAGCAGAAGTACACTATGAAATCTCAGAGGCACTTACTTAGAGGAACAGGATAGAAACAGTATTTCAGGAAGACCTTCTTGGGGTGTGGGCCTTCTGCCTTATCTCAGCAGGATGGGCAGAGGGAGGGAGTTTCGTAATCCTGTGCCTGGCTTAAGTGACAAGTTGTTTACTCTGCCAGTACGTCATGAGAAGTGGCTGGTTGGTCGGTTAAGGACAGCTGAGCTGTTTATTTAGACAAATGTAACCCAGCCTCACTTACCTTTGGGAACCCAGACTGAAGTGCCCAATGATAAGGCTTCTCAGTTTTTCTAATACTCTCAGATTGTTACCAATTCATTTGTTTCTTAGAAAGTACTCTTAAGTCTCATGTCCCATACCACTAGTGTCCTCCTCCAGGGCATGAGCACACAGAGAGGGGGAGAGAAGTATCCATTAGGTGTAGCTCCTAGTGAAGGTCACTGGCACACTGGCATCAACAAGAGAAGGCTTAGCCTAGTGAGTAGTGGGGTCGAAGGTCACATACCCAGGAATGAGGAAAAATTGTCAGAGGAAATAGAATGAAGGAGTGTAGGCAGCCCCTTCAAAAAGCCTCCCTGGGGAGAGCAGGTCAGTGATAGGCCCATAGCCAGAGGCAACTGCAAGGTGAAATGGGGAATCCTTTACAAAAGTTAGGTTTAAGCCTGGGCCCACAGCCTTATGGCCAGGCTGCCACAACTAAATACATAGGATGTTGGATGGCACTAGATCTGTGGTGAAGCATAAAGCTGGAAAGGGTATGATAAAGGATCATCAGCGGGAGCTGGCTCTTAGACACAGGAGGCAGAGGTGGCCTCCCAGGAGGGTGAGCACACAGGGCAGAGAGACACGCTTGGTCAGGCAGAGGCCTGGTCCTGTGATGTGGGTAGAGGAGGTGAGATCAGAGAAGGCATGGGGAAGGGCTTGGGCTCTTGCCTGAGTCAGAAGAGAAGCCATGGGGGTTTTGTACCAAGGACTAACATGATCTGATTTATATTTTAAAAGGATCCTTCCAGCTGCTGTGTTGAGAAGGGGTTGTGGGAAGATAAGGAAGGTGTGGAAAAATCCGCTTAGGCGACTGTAACAGTTATCTAGAAGACAGATGATACTGACTTGGAGCAGGGTGGTGGCAGTGGAGATGACAAAAACTGTTTAGATCCTAGATTTATTCTAAAGGTAAAATTCACAGGATTTGCCAATGGACTGGATATGAGGTTTAAGAGCAAGAGGGAAGTTGGGGATGACCCCTAGATTTTTGTCTAAGTGAACAGAAGGATGGAAGTGCTTTCTTTGAGATGAGAAAGTCTCAAATTTTAACAAGTGTATGTATGTGTGCAGAAGGGAGAAGGGACCGGGGAAGGGGTAGGAGTACTGGGAATTTGGGTTAAGATGTGTCAAATTTAAGAAATCAGAGTAACTAAAAAGAACAAAAATGTATTGTTTAAATAAGAACTCTAATGGAAATCTAAGTGATGATGTCAAGTATACACATGGTCTAGGTGTCAAGCTAGAGATCCAAGCTGGAGAGATGTGAGACTGAGCAAGGTACTGAGAGCGAAAGGCCCCCAGACTGGGTAAGATTCAGGAAGTGAGTGACAGTGGAAAAGAGATCTGAAGACTCAGCCCCGGGCTCTCCAACATTAAAAGGCTGGGGAGACAAGAAGAAACCACCAAAGGAGACTGACAGCAAATTGACAGTAAAGTAAGAAGAGAACCATGAGAGGCTACTTCTCAGAAAGCCCAGTGAGGAAAGAATTCAAGAACGATAAAGTCAACTGTATAAATGCTGCTGATAGAGCAAGCAGGATGAGGTCTGAGGAGTGTCTCCTGGACTTAACAATGGGGAGTGGGGGTCCAATGATACAGTCGACTACCAGAGCAATAACCTGGAGCAGGTGAGAGAAGACAGGATCTAGTGCAGAAGGGAAAGCTAAAACAGGGACTGGTCTTCCACAGACACAAGAGGGAAGGAAGCTGGTGGATGTGAAGTGTGTGTAGTCATTCTTTTCTGATTGCTTCTGATTTCTTGATGAAACAGAAAATCAGCTCATCAGGTTACCTGCTAGTAAGGTCATCAGAGAAAGGCTGTAGGAGGAGGACACAGAGGTTTGCAAGGAGAGGAGAAGGTACAAAATAGTCATGCAGGAGGACGGAAGAATGGACACACAGGGAAAATGGTGTGTGATGGAGGGTCAGCACGAAGGGTCCCCTGGAGGTGGAGGGTCACAAATGTATAGAGCCTGGTCAGCATGGTAGTGTGTTGAGTGGCCCAGATGCCGTGAGATTATGAAGAGTTGGGTTTCTAAGAGTCCACCATCTGCCTCATACATATTCATTATCCCTCACCACAATGAGGCACGTGTTACTATCTCCATTTTACAAATGAGGAAACCAAAACAGATGAGGCCAAGTGACCTGCTCAAGGTCAAACCACAGGAAGAAGCAGGACCGGAATTCAAGCCAGACAATCTGACCCAGCACCATCACTGATACTGCACAAAATGGTTATCTTCGTAGTGGACTGCACCTTCCCACATTTAGACCTTTATAAGAGTTTCTAAAAGAATATTTTTTTGCATGAAATATCTATACTATTAACATAACAAATACTCTAATATAAATATTTCAACATGCTTCTCGTTTTTTAGAACTGTCAACCAAATTTTAAATAATGACAGTTGCTTTCTTACGTATTATTCATCCACTAGTCAGTAACAAATAAAAACTGAGTCCACACTGAATTCTCTGGAAGAATAGAGCCAGGCTCCGAATCCAGGTCTGAGGACCACCAGGTCTGAATTGGGCAAGGAACGGGAAGGATGTGAGCTTTACAACCAGAGATGGTCACTAAGTCAAGCAACTATCATTAAACTTAAATAACAGACTTTTGGGTAATTTAGTCAGAGAAACTTGTAGAAAAGTTGCTACCTAAATCCAGAGTATCCTTCACATGAAGAATACTAAAGTCCTTATTACTATTACCTACAATGCATAATTAGCCCACATTGCTATTTTCTGAAGTTTTAAAAGAACAAAACCAAAAAAACAATTCCATTCTCCTTGTTGAACCAAGTGTTCCCCTGCTTCTGAATGTGTTTGGATGGAAATCAGAAAGGGACTTAGACCCACCCCCCCAAAAAAGAAAGGCTTGCAGGAAACAGTTTTTTGTGATGGTTATGCCAGGGAGGCTGTCCTTTGAAGTCTCTCCCCAGTTTTGTCTAGATAAGATGTTTTTCTACCTGAGCCAATGAATGATTCCACAGAGAGAGAGAAACAAACTATGGCATACCTATATATGTTAGGTTTGGGGGTTTTTGTTAATGTTAGTTTATTTTAAACCCTGCTTCGTACCTGGGTCCACCTCAGAAGAGGAAGAAATAGAAAGGGCTTCTACAGAACTAACAGCTTCGCTGGGGGCCTCCAGGCTGGCTTCTTGCAGCACGTAATCTCTTATGTCACGAGCAGACGGCAGTTCCAAAGCACTGTTGTCTGACTGGCTGCCTGGAGTGGCTTCCTGAGTTGCCATAGTCCTGCCATGAAAAAAAAAAATGAAACAATCAACACAAAAGGTATTGCAAAGAGGAACCCCCATTACAGGCAGTCACGACTTGCCAGACTAAAATCCCAGAATCTTAAAGGCCAAGGGACAGTACAACCAGAATAATGTGTCTTTACTTCCTCATCTTTACTTTGAATCTAGTATTTGCTTACCGTATTTCTTCAGCATGAGAAACAAATGTTCTCATTACATAAAGAAAGCATTAATAATTCCAGCTGGAAAATAAGCTGTCTGTCTGGTAAGGATGAAATACTGTGCAGCACTATTATCCAAGGACTATAAGAATATTTAATGAGAAGGGAAACTGTTCATGAGATATTGGATGGGAAAAGATTTTAAAACAAGAGGTCGAGTTTGATCCAGATTCTGTGAAATAAAATATCATTTGTGGGATGTGTGTGTGTGTGTGAAAAATATAACTCTATAGCTAGAAAAATCAAATCTGGAAGAGTATATCCCAACTTAATTTCACTGGTAACCAATTCAGTTGTTTAATTTCTGGCTAGTGAGATTATAGGTGATTTGCATTTTCCTTTGTGGTCTACTCAACCATGCATTCAGCCATTACTTAACGTGCCAGGCCAGGTGCCAGGCCCTGGGGATACAAAGGTTAATGTGATAGACCTTTCCTTTAAGTTACTTACAGTTTGAGGTGATCCAAACACAGAAACACACCCTGTCCACAAAATGACGAAATAGAGCAGAGCCCAGGAAGAGGCAGCAGGTTTTCGGAGTGGGGGGTGGGGGGGTGGTTATCCCCAAGCGTAAGGCAGGCCAGGCCCTGGCCAGAGGACAACGTGAACACCAGAAGAACCAGCTTGAGCAACCACAAATGACATGGGGTGTCAGGAGTTTAAAGTGAGAGTCAAGGAACAGTCACGCACTATGTAACTCGGGAGGGACAAACCATGTGGTCACAGCTGGGACCCTCTCCTCTTCCTGTGCCAGGTCTGGAAAGGACATCAAGTCCTTGGATACACAAACTCTTTAGCTGAGTTCTGGAGACCATGAAAGTGGCTTATTAGGTTCAGTGTTTGGACATTTCTTATTTAAAATGAGTCTACATTCTGCTGCGTCTATACCCACCTGTGGGCTGGGTTCTCTAGTGTGTAGCTCTTTGTGGTGCATCCAACCCTGCCCACCTCTCTGTAAAATAACTGTGAGTCTGGGGAGACCCGAGATCCTCTGCTACTCTCTGCATTGCAAGTTGTTGTCATCAATAAATCTTGTCAGAGACCACACCACACATTGAGACTGCTGTGGGCCACCAATGCACCATGCAGAGGAGTTACAATCAGGGGTGTCCAACCCATTTTCACCAGGGGCCACATCGGCCTCGTGGTTGCCTTCAAAGGGCTGAATGTAGAGCTCCTTGCCCCTAGTTAAGGAGTAGTTACATTTACACAGTCCTAAAATTGTATTCAGCCCTTTGAAGGCAACCGTGAGGCCGATGTGGACCCTGGTGAAAATGAGTTTGACACTTCTGAACATAGTCAGATCTGCAGAAGGATTTGAAGGGCCTACACCTGCTGGCAGCCAATCTCAAAAACAACGGGAATTCATTCACCTGCACTGGTCCCAGTGAGAGAAAAAGAGCGTGTGAACCAGGGCAGGGCACTATCGGCCAAGAGCAGGGGGCAGATTAAGAACATAATAAGGAAGGAAAATGAGAGTAGAACTTAATAACTGAATGAATAAAGGAGCCAAGAGAAACAGTGGGTCACTGAGGGTGGCACCTGGGTTGTATTACCAACTGAGTCAGAGAAGATAGGAAAAGAAATGGGGTTGGAAGGAGGCAGTATTCCAAATAATGGAATACGCCACTGTTAAAATGACAGTCAGAACTTGTTAAGTCGAATGAAAGACGCAGTTCCAGAATAACATGGACAGCATAGTAATAAGAGTAGTTAACATTTATCAGGTGCTTGTTGGAAGCCATCATTGTCCTAAGAGCTTTACCTGCAACAGCTCTATGAAGCAGGTCCTCCAATTATTACTCTCATTCACAGTCAGACAGTCAGACAGTCAGACCCAGACACAAGTAGAGTTACTTGCCCAAGGAAACCCATCTGGAAAGTACCAAGCTATGATGAACTCAGCACCAAGATCTCCCAGCCTTCTATGCCTGCACAGCCCCCATACTGTGATCTAGTCAGGCACAGACAGGAGGTGGATGAAAACAAATCAACAGAGAGGCCTGGCAAGATCCTTCTTGTTTGGGCACATCAAATCACATGCTGTTGTGACATTTGTTCTGGCAGAGACATTCGCCCTGGAAGAGAGTGAGCCAAGACATCAGCTGATTGCTTCTGAAAGGAGTTGAGTGATCAAGTACGTCCTATCTTTTCACACGTGTTACGTTAGCCAACCAAGCCTGAAGTTTCAGCAAACACCTCTGCTGCAGGCTCTGGGTGGCTCCTGCCCCTCTGCGCCTGTTACCAAACACTGCTCTGGAGCCTCTGGAAGGGAACAAACAGGTCAATGAATGACATCAGCATATTCTGCCTGCCGGCCAAGGTGCCTTGACATGGACCATCAGCTCAAGGTGTGTCACTAGCAACATGAAACAAGGGGAATCCTTTTTGAAAATTAATAGTGCACTGGTATGATATGTATCTTTTCTTTTATAATCACTTATATTAAATGTCAAAAACATTCCAAACTAGGCATTTGAACAAATAAAGAAATAAAATGTCTACTAAAAGGCTGAATCCTTTAATTATAAAGTAAGTATCTGTGTATGTAAAACACATTATTTGGGACTCGGTGAATTTGTACAGGAGAAAGCAATAATAGGGTAGAGATGAAACACTTCTTATTAGGGTCTGAAACTATGTAGGCTGGCAAGTAGAATACAATGATTACCTTTTGCCCCAGAACTTTTGTTATTCAACTTCCTTCTCCACAAATGCATATTTTCCTCTTTTAAAAGGGCTTGAATTACACAATCTAAATATTATTTTCCAATGCAAGAGATGCCTGGGACTGCAGGCATAGGAAGTCTCCTAGTACAGAAAAACTGCTCACCAAGAGAAGGCAACCACTCTTCTGTTACTCTACAGACTCTTACACACCTAAAATACAAGTCAATCAGCGTCCACAGAGAAGTGGTTTAACCTCATTTACTTTTTCTCAGTTAAGGCTTTTCTTTCCCAGTATTTTACACAAAAGTTTTCAGCATAAACTAGAAAGAATTATAGTTACTGCTTAGATTTCACAACTAACATTTTATTATGCTTTTTGTTATCACATAACTATCCATCTATCCAACTCTCTCTTCATTTGTCAATTTATCTTATTTTTACACTATTTCCATTTAAATTTCAATATAATGAAAGCTTCTGAGTTGGTGTGTGATATGATCAGTTTGCACTTTCAAACACCGTTAGCTGAAAGAAGTGGGAACACAACAGGATCTCTGCAGAGATATCCAGACATGCACAGGGTCTCTGAAGGTGAAAAGTAAAGTTTGAACCCTTGCTGTCACTTTTTAGCTGTGTCACTTTGGGCAAGTCACTTAACCTCATTTCCCTTATCTATAAAAATGGCTTAATGATTATGCTTGCCTACCTTATAGAATTGTCGTAAAAATTATATATTTCGGCCTGCAAAATATTTATTACAGTAATGTGCTCTAATGTCTAACTCCAATAACTGAAATAGTAATAATTAAAAGACAAATTATAGGCTCCTACTTTCCCAGCCTACCTCCAGTCCATCTGCCCCTTTATTTCCCATCCAGTAGCCACCCTGCTTCTCTCACCCTTATTCAGTATCTTCTATGGCCCACAGTCTGGTTAATACCCCAATCTTCCCTTCCCTGCCCATTCTGTCTCTTCATCATACCCTTTTGGCAAAACTCCAGCCTACATGAATGCAACTATCTGCCCAGCTCCCCATGTGCTGGTCATCAGGGTCACAGAACAGGGCAGAACTGGCTCACTGTAAAAGAATAAGCACCAACCTGGAATGGGCTATCTGGTCAAATAAATCCTGAAACATTTATCTCATAATTCCCTCTCCCACTGTCCTTGACTCTTCTTTTTTCCATTATTTTTTCTTTCTTTTTAATTTTTTTATTTTTCAATCAGTCTGTATTTAATATTATTGTGTATTAGTTTCATCTCCTTGACTCTTTTATGTTTTCTCCGGGCTTCTTCAACTCAGACCCTCCCCATCACTCACAACCTTCTTCCTCTTCTCTGCAGAACATCTCATTTCCTAAGTGACAAAACAGAGTCCATCAGAGAGGAACTTCCTCAACAATCCTACCAAACAAAACAAAGTTTTGCACCTGCACACTGGGTCACCTCTCTTCACTTCTCCTTAACAGGGACCAACCTGGACCTTAGATTCCACTCTTTGGATCTGTTTATAGCCTTCAGCAACAACAATCCTTCTCTCGCCTCTATTCCACTGCATCACCACTTAGATTTTCAACATGCCCAAATTGCTCCCATTTTCAACAAAACCTAGTATATAAGGGAATGTCCTTATTCTTCAGAAATGCCCCTCAAATATATATTGGTAGGGGGATATGATGTCTACAATATATTCTCAAATGGTTCTAACCATGTATATATACATACGCACACACATATAAATGAAGAGGAGAGAGCCTTGGGCTAAGCCTCAAGGAAGAAAAATTGGAGATGGAAGTTGAGCTGCAAAACTTATATATGTATATACATTAGCAATAAATAATTAAATTTAAATTAAAAGAAGAAAATTCCATTTACAATAGCATCAAACAAAATATTTAGGAATATATTTAATAAAAATGTATAAGATGTATACACTGAACACTACAAAATAAATGTTGAAAGAAACTGAAAATAAGTGAATGGAAAGACATCCTATGTTAATGGAATAAAAGACAATATTTTATTGCCCAAATTGATCTACAGATCTATGCAATTCTTATCACAATCTCAGTTGCCTGTTTTTTGTATGTTTTTTTTTGCAGACATTTGATAAAATGGTTTCAAAAATTTACATGGAAATGCAAGAGACCCAGAATAGCCAAAACAATCTTGAAAAAGAAGAACAAAGTTGGAAGACTCATATTTTTCAATTTCAAAACTTACTGCAAAGCCACAACAATCAAAACTGTAGTACTGGCAAAAGATTAGACATATAGATCAAAGGAATAGAATTGAGAGTCCAAATGTAAAATCTTACTTAATAGTCAACTGATTATCTTTTTTAAAAATTGAAGTATAGTTGATATACAATATTATATTAGTTTCAGGTGTACAACATAGTGACTCAATATTCATATACCTTATGAATGATCACCACAGTAAGTCTTGTAATCATCTGTTTCCATACAAAGTTATTATATTACTGCCTATATAACCTATGCTTTATATTATATCCTGGTGACTTACTTATTTCATAACTAAAAGTTTGTATCTCTTAATTACCTTCATCTATTTTTCTAATTGCCCCCACTCCCCTCACGTTTGGTAGCAATGTTGTTCTGTGTCTATGAAGCCTGTTTTTATTCTGCTGTTCTTGATTCCACATATAAGTGAAATCATCTGGTATTTGTCTTTCTCTAACTTATTTCACTTAGCATACTAGATCTATCCATGTTGCCACAAATGGCAAGATTCCATTCTTTTTATGGCTAAGTAATATTCCATTCTATATACAACAGGGGCCACCCAAAAACTGGAATTATCTTCTGGAAGGTGGGCTCCTTGTAGTACAGGCTTCCTCTGCTAGGTGAATGTTCTAGGAACCCATCTGTATCAGTGTACCATGCAGTGTTGTTGTGAGAAGCTGCATTCAGCTTTAGTGAAAAATTTTTGAAGACTCTTTCAACGAGTTTGCCCATTTCATGTTGGGTGATCTATGAGTGTACCTGCCCATACCGCAATGAGTGTTCAGCAGTTTTTGACCAAAAACATAATGGCCCCCATCCCCTAGCCCTCCACTCACCCTCAGCAACTTTTTCTTGTTTCCCCAGATGAAAAAAATCTGCAAAAGGAAATGTTCTGTGGACATGGAAGAGGTGAAACAAAAAAATGGCAGATGCACTAAAAGACATCGAAATTGACAAGTTCAAAAACCATTTTCAGCAGTAGAAAAACATCTCAATAAGTGTATTGCATGAAGAGTACTTTGAAGGTGACTGAAGTTTAAACATGTAAGAATAAATACATAATTTTTTATAAAGAAATTCCGGGTTTTGGGGGGAGGCAGTTCCCCCTCATACATACAACATGTTCTTTACTTATTCATCTATCAATGAACACTTAGATTGCTTTTGTTTCTTGGCAATTATAAATGATGCCTCAATAAACACAGGTTTATCTTTTCAAATTAGTGTTTTCGTTTTCTTGAGATAAATAACCGTAAGTGGAATTGCTGAACTGTTAATTTTTTGAGGGACCTCCAAACTGTTTTCCATAGTGGCTATACCATTTTATATTCTCACCAACAGTGCATGCGGGTTCCCTTTTCTCCACATCCTCACCAACACTTGTTATTTATTGTCTTTTTCATAACAGCCATTCTGATAGGAATGAGCTGTTATCTGATTGTGGTTTTGATTTGCATTTCCCTGATGATTAGTGATGTTGCACATTATTTCATGGGTCTTTTGGCCATCTGTATATCTTCTGTGGAAAAATGTCTATTCATCAACTGATTTTTCCACTGAATGCCAAAACAATTCAAGGGGAAAAGGCTGTCTTTTCAACACTGCGATAACTGGATATCCACATACAAAAAGGTAAAGTGGTGCAAGCTCTTTGGAAAACAGTTTGCCAGTGTTCCAAAGGTTAAATAGAGTTACAATTTGTCCAGGCAATTCCACTTGTAGGTATATGCACAAGAATTAAAAACGTGTAGGGAAAAGAAACAAAGCACATGTGTTCACACAAGTCTTACACAAATATTCATAGCAGCTTTATTCAAAATACACAAAAAGTGAAAACAATCCAAATGTCCACCAACTAATGAATGGATGAATAAAATTTGGCATATGTATACATGAAATATTTTTCAGCAATAAAGAATGCAGTTCTGACACATGCTACAAGCAAAAACTTTGAAACCATTATCTAAAAAAAAAAAAAGAAAGCTAGTGGTAAAAAACCACAACAGGCCCAAAATGGGATGGCTTTTCCTAAGCCATGTCACCAAACTTTTAACAAGGTGATTTTTATTTTATGCAAATTATATATCAACAAAGCTGTTTTTTAAAAAAGAACCTAAGTTCATCCACTACCTGCAAACTCCCTGGATTCCCTAAAGTCAAGGCTGCAGAAGCTGCAGAGCCCACATGTTGGGTGGAAAAGGGGGTGGATGGGTTCTGCTGAGCCATGTCACCAAACTTTTACCAAAGCGAAATTTATCCAAATTATAACTCAACAAAGCTGGGCTTTTTAGATTTTATTTATTTATTTTTAGAGAGGGAAGGGAGGGAGAAGGAGAGAGAGAGAGAGAGAAACATCAATGTGTGGTTGCTGGGGGCCATGGCCTGCAACCCAGGCATGCACCCTGACTGGGAATCGAACCTGCGATGCTTTGGTTTGCAGCCGGCGCTCAATTCACTAAGCTACGCCAGCCAGGGCTATCTTTTGCTTTTTTTAAAAAGAAGAACCTAAGCTCATCCACTGCCTGCAAACTCCCTGGATTCCCCAAAGCCAAGGCTGCAGAAGCAGCAGAGCCCACATGTTGGGTGGAGGAGGGGGTGGGTGGGCAGAAACTGTGCCAGGAGAAGCGGCCATAACTTCACAACGTTGTGATACAACGATGTGAAGCGCTGGGGGGGTACCCCTTCTCTGCTCTCAGTCCCAAGCCATTTCTAAATCGACCCAGACAACCCGTTAAAAAACTCGCCAATTACACTCACCGTCCCGTCGTAGCTGCAACGACTGAGAAGCCGGAAGCGGAGGCGCCATGTTTACTATGGGAAAAGACAGGTTTGAAACCATCTTTGCTGAGGGCAAGCAAGAGCAACGGAAGGAAGCTGCGGCCATTTTGACTAAGGGCGTTCGCCCAGCCAAAAAAGCTTTCTGCAGGCACTTGGCTACTTTGGGCAATTTCTAGAGCAGGCTTCTTGATGAAATGCGTTGGGTGGACACTAAAGGAAACCTGAAAGCTATTTAAAGTTTTAAAAAATGTGAACGTCTACATTTAAAAAAAACATACAAAGTAGAGAGAATTTAACAAAGAGAATGAACATATTTTAATACATTGCATGCAGGTAGCTGTACAAGACTGCCAGAACTGCAGGATAACAGAGAGAACGACTGAGGGTTATTGCCCCATTCTGCCGTGTTCCTGAAAGAGTCCTGTAGATGCTTCCTATAGATGTTTCCTGTACAGCCTCCTATAGATGCTTACCTTGGGATAGGACCCCATAAGATAGGAGTCCTGCAATTGAGGTTAATATTTTAAATAGCATAACCTGAGATTTCGCAAATCGCATGCCAGATACTATGAGCTAAAACATCCTGGGAGATGTAGAGGACTTTTGAGGGCAAAATAAAGATACAATAATAAATAAAACTAATTTTCCTTCACATTCATACAAACCTAGCACAGCAACTGTAAATTTCATGTTCTCTTCCAACTTTGTGCAATGAATGAAAAAAGGGCCATATATTAAACCTGACAAGCTGGGGTGGGTAGTGGCATATGGCAGGCCTTGCAAAGTTGAAGATTGTAAATAACGACATAGCATGATCGGATTATAAATTCCTAACTGGAAGAACCATGGCAAGTAGTCACATACAGCCTATAGCTTACTTAGCAAAGGTCAGTCTTTACCTTAAGTGAACTCTGTCCATTGTACTTTTAAGATAACATATGGTACCTTTCAAACAGCAGAGTAATTCTCTTTTCTAGACCCCTTGGAAACACAACCTGTAGCACTGGAGGACGAGACCATGAGACTCCTCATTGTTTTCTTGTTCCCTGAATACTGTCTCTATGTGCTGTAAATGTTAAACATTAACTATCCTGTACCCCAAAATATAAAAGAAATATGTGTTTCTCCATTTTGCTTTTTATCGAATTCTAGAGATCTCCCCATTTTGCTTCTCCCCCTTTAATCTATCATCAAGTATTTCATAACACTATTTACCTCTTCTCTTTCCCTTTTAACATATAAAATAAGCTGCAAAACTGCTGTGATCTAGAACGTTTTCTCAATCTGTTGAGATTTTGCTTCTGGGCATGTCCTCAAATTTTAAAGAAACAAACAAAAAACCCACAATGGCTCAGTAGCATCCAGGATGCAAGAACCCAACTCTCCAGACAGTGAGTCTCGGCCAACCATGGAGGGAAGGGAGAAGGGACAGAGGGGGAAGGCTGTGCTGGTGGGGTCCTGTGGCTGAGGCTGCCAGGCTCCTGGGCATGCAGATGGGGCCCCCTTGTCTGGGAGTGCCTAGTGAGTTTGGGGGTATAAGGTTATTTTGGAGGGCATGATGAGCAGAGGGCCTGACACACTGTGGGAAAAAAAATAAAGAAAAATTTTAACTCAAATGAACTCTAAAAAAACTTTTCTATAGAAAAAGAATGTCTGGCTGGACATTCTTTTGTTGACAATGCATTAGCAATCAAAGTGTATAATTTTGATTTTCACTTTTGTTATGTGACATCTTATAAAAACTCCAAAGTAACAGAATAGTTTGTGATTAGAGAAAGTCTAGAATGACATTAAGTTACTCTCTCTTCAGAAAAATGACAAACTCACGTATAATTGAATAGCAATTATTATGCAACCATTAAAATGATAAAAGATGTAACAAAAGAAAATGCTGGATCATGCGTTGCATGATGGTATGCTTCATGGTTCATTTTTATAGCCTTTAGTCTCCTCTAACCTCTGTTTCTTAGTCTTTCTTTATATTTCTTGAAGAGTACAGATCACTTATTTGGTAGAATATCTCTCAATTGAGTTTGCTGCTTTTATGTGGTTCTCAATGTCATTGAACGTTGTTGACCACTCCTTCCCTCTGGCAAGCTCTGGTCCCTGGGTTTCCCGAAACCACCTTCTTGCATTTTTTCTCTTACCTCTCTCAAAAGCCCACATAAATCTCCTTCATATGCTCTTCTTTCTCTCCCATGTGAACCTGTCTCAGTGTTCTATCTTGAATCTTCTTCTCTTCTGCCTTCTATGTAGATGACTCCAAACCCTCTAAGCCTAGTCTCTTCCTGAGATTCAACATATCCTCCAGTCACCTTTAATTCAACCTCTCTTCACCTTCCAATCAACTGCTTCTACCTCTGTGTCTCTTGTGTCAGTGAGTTGGCCCATTTAGCTGCCAGAGCCAGAAAATTTTCCTCCTCTTTTGTCAGCATGTAGCTATCTATCAATAATCAAATCCTCTCCTGCTGTTTTTTTTCTTTTAAAGGTTTATTAATCTAGCTCCTAATTCTCTCTATCCTCACTTCAACTTTATGAGTAGAGCCCACCATTATCTGCCAACTGAGTGATGACATCTTCCCAACCCTGTGAAGGCAGAGTTTTCTTTTTAAAATGAAGAGTGAGCACACTACTCCCTTGCATTCAAGCTAAAGTTCAAAGTTCACCAGACTTAGAAGACTCCTACCCATATCTCCTATCACTATTTCCCAATAGTGTACCCATGCACTATTTTCTTTTCCTGAAACACTCCATACTTGCTCCCTCTTGCATCTGAGCTTTTTATCTACACAATGTTCTCTCTTAGAAATGTCCTTCTTTCTTATTCTTTGGTCTCTCTCATCCTTCTTAAGATCTCAGCTTTTAGGAATTATTCCAGGAAACCTTCTCTGACTTGTCAAGTGTGACTGAGTTGTCCCTTCCAGGAATGCTCACATTCTTCCATTTCCTAAGTACTCTAAATTCTTTTTTCCTTTTTGTTTTCCCCCAATAGATTGTTGGCAACACAAGTCATATGTACTTCAAAGTCATAGTCCAGAGCCCAGCCCAGTGAGTGTAAGTTCTCACAAAGTGCTGTTATATGAATAAATGGATATCTCTTCCCAGATCTCCTCCA